CCACAGCTTCTCTGGGCAACCTGGGCCAGTGTCTCACCACCCTCACAGGAAAGAATTTCTTCCTCAAATCTCATCTCAATCTCCCCTCTTCCAGTTTCAAGCCATCACCCCTTGTTCTGTCACTCCCCGCCCTTGTACAGCGTCCCTCCCCAGCCTTCCTGGAGCCCCTTCAGGTACTGGGAGGCCACTAGAAGGTCTCCCCAGAGCCTTCTCTTCTCCAGACTGAACAGCCCCAGCTTGAGAAATAACATAGGTGGAAATCTCAGTGAGAAGGTTCACTTCTCCTTTGCAGGGAAGGACAAGTACATTCTCTTCTCAGTACATTGGTTTATTGCATGAAAACAGTTACCTGTGACACTAACAGCAGTCAGATGTTTTACTGTGGACATATTTTAATGTCTCTGTAGCATTAGGCTTAAATGTACAGTTTAAATATGGCAACTGACCATTTAGAGCTGTGCTTGTTCTGCTCTGCAGGATCCCAGGGGATGTTAGTCACAGGGTGGGTCTTACTTCAGCTTGAGATGACATGGCAGGGAGGCAGAAAACTCGGGAGAGAACAGGTCTTACCCTGTCCTCGTCTTCAGCTTCCTTATGTCAGTGGTTCAAGGTGTGTGTGTGTACATTTAATACAGCCATAATTACAGGGGATGTAACATCTTACTGATTCATAGACTTTTATGGATGTGTGTATGTGGTTTCTACTAACTGGTAGTTGTTCAGATGAAAGTAATTTGATAAAACATTTTGGCCTGTAGTCAGTGTCATTTACACTTGCAATGGTAGCCAATAACTAAAGGTAGTTAGTTCAGCCTAATATATGGAAATAGAGTTGCTTCAGTCTTGTGCTTTGGTCATTCCCTGGCTTATTTTGAATCTTCTCTCACATTCCTACATCACCTTGTTGGTTATGAGCAGAACTTATCTAAGTACCAGTAGTTACGTTTATGCAATGCAGTATTCTCTTTTTAAATGAGTGACAACTAAGAAAAATGTAGAAGTTATTTTCTCTAATTTTAGCAGCCTGCAAGGTGGCTTGTAGGTAGGCTGCCAGCAGAGAGATGGGCACAGTCAGAGCGTGCCTTATCCTCTTTGCAGTGCCTGTCTCTTGGCCACAACCAGGATCCAGCCACCTGATTGGAGCTGTCTAAGGTGAGATGATCAATCCCATCCACTGGGAACAATTGTGTTTAACAGTACAACTGCACTGATCCAAAAATCCTGCAGTAAAGAGACTGCATCGGTGGAGGAATGTAAAATACCTAAGTGCAACCTGACCGTAATTTAGAAAACCAGCTGCCTGCTGGTATATGATTTAATTTTCAGTGCAGTTTAGTTGCAGGTGGGGTTTTTTAATCTTAAATCTCATCTGTATTTTTAATACATTTTAAAATAATGCAATAACCATGTTGCATGCCAGTTCTCCTCACTTCACTTCCATTTCCCCAGAGCGTTCAGGTGTTGTTGTTGCAGAGCATCTCGGCTGCTGGCACTGTTGGGCTTTGGCAGGCAATGTGTCTTGTCTGGGTAAAAAGAAGACTAAGGGAGTTTAATATTGTAGTATCTGTAAAAAAAAAATGGGAGCACTTTATTAAGTGAGACTGTGCAAAGCTTTCTTATGGATGGAATTTACATTAATGTATTTTATTGTTCCATCTCAGCAGATCAAACGATAAGTGTAGTGTCACATACGTTTTTGTGACTATTCTGTTAAATAGATTTTAATACTTAATGTTTTTATTCTCATGCATTTCAAAGCAGCAATTATTTCCAAGAATAAAGATAACTGAATTTGTCTTGATGCTCTCTGGATTAAAGGGGAAAACGCTGTATTTGAAGGTGTGACAGTAGGTGAGGAGTTCTGCTCTGATGAGTGGTTCCAAGTCCCCCAGCGCAGTAGCCAGTGCCCCACCACTTCTGCTCGCGTTGTCCATGAGCCTGGTAAGAGTTTTAGCAGCGGTAAGAAGTGTTCCCTGTCGGTATTTCAGAGACAGGCTCCGAAGTGATGCCAAGAATGAGTCTGGTGGCTGGTTTGGCATCGGGGTAGGTGAGGAGGGGGAGAAGGCCGTAATCCATCTCAGCTGTGTGTGCGCACAGGGCTTTTCTCCTCGCCTTGGCTCTCGCACGCACGCTCGCTCGCTCGCAGGGACATGTGACTTTTGGCCATATTAGCAGGTTTATCCAAGCCTAGCCCCTCTGACT